TCGAGTTTTCATCCTATATATTTTATTAAATATATGTATATTTTAAATAAATAAGAAGAGAAGAAGAAATTTGAAAAGCAAAAACTGAATAATTGATCCGATGGATTTCTGATCTGAAGAAAGCTATTGTTTGCTAGTGAGCCAAAATATCGCAAGTCACGTTCATAGTGACTGATAAAAAGAGGTCATATGGAGTAGAAATGAATAGATCATTTCAATTGTGGTATTATAAGATTCAATTAAATCTGTTTGTTCCAGAAAAAAAAAGATAATAATAATAATACCAATAATATTTATTTTGTTTGAATAGTCCAATCTAATCCAGAAAATTTAAACTTAGTTTTATTTTATATAGTTTAATGAATTTAAACACATTAATATATATTACACTGCACAAAATTATGTCAGATGGTATTTAACGACGATTTTAAATCATAAAAACTGGAATTTTGTATCAGCTCTAGATTGAAAAATATACCACATGTGAAAAACTGCATCACATTTAATTATTATTTATTTTTATACATTTTATACATTTTTATACATTTTTTTTTTTAGACAAAGGGTTAGAGTTGAACTAATTTTAAATCATTTAATTTTAATTATATCATATGATATTTCAGTACGTTATTAAATAAGAAAAAAGTCTCAATTATTACAGTTATAAATTGTGACGAAGAATAGTCACAACATTCTCCTAAGACGCATCTTGTTCATTTGCTATTGATATATACATATGTATGTATATGTCGCAAGAAGCAGTTGACTTGTGTTCTTTGGTTATTCTTATAAGCCGCAAACATTTCAATTGCTGCCACTGTAGCTAATCTTACACGCGTTCGCCCGTTTGCCCGCCTCACGCCTGCTTCTTGATGTGCTGGCAGCCTGTTAAATGATGTGTTGTTAGCCAATTTGGGGGAAATCCTTTTTTGTTAGACTTGTGAAACAACACGAGTTTAAATGATTTATTTTATTACAACCTTAAAGCGTTTAATTACTCCAAAGCAGAGTCTGAGCGCTGAGACACCAGTCGAGAGTCGAGACTCGAGAGTTGAGCCAACTGCTGGCAGTTTATTTTTAAGTGTTTTTTCTTCATTCTCGTTTTTGGTTTTTGGGCATGTGTCCTGGCTGGCTTCTCTGTTATGCATGCAAAATGTTAAATGCAATGTCAGGCGCCAAAAACGTGCTCAAATAATATTCTGCATATACCGAAAATAAAAACAAAGTGCTCTAATGGCTGAATTTTAAAATGTATGAGCCTCGCCCCCCTCTTGCCATCCTCCTGCCTCTCCTTGTATGTATGTGTGTGTGTGTGTGTTTGCATTTGATCCAGTACATTTATATTTGTGTTTTCGTTTCTATTTTGTGGGCTGCTGAAGTTCGTTTCTCTGAGATTTTAATATGTATGAGTTAGAAGATGAAACAGTTATGGCAAACACACACACACACGCACACAGGCAGAGTCACAGATAGTCATATATGTGTATGTGTGTAGCATATTCATGCAGAGCGCTTCGAGCTCGCATTCGTTTTTCTTTACTTTTTGGCCAGAGCCCTTCAATAATTTCCTTGACTTACCCAGCTTTGGCCAGGGTGTCTGTCGCGTTGTCGTATCGTTTGGCGTGCTCTGCAAATTCGTAAGGACTCTGCCAGGGACCAGTTTGACTAATGTAACTTACGTGTAGAACATATTCAACTACCAAGCTCGGCGACGCGTGCCCGTTGGCCCGGCTTGTCTCCTAATAATGCAAAACATTTGTATGGCAAAAATGTTGCGAGCACCAGACAGGGACTTCATTTTATATAGCACTCACACACACACACAGAGAGTGAGAGAGAGAGAGACAGGGCAGAAAGAGAAAGAGATGCTGTGCTATCAAATGTAGCATCTTTTTTGCGGCTCGTTGAGTTGGCTCGCTGCCATTTGTTTTATGTAGCTTACTCAATTTATGAATACCCCGATCCACACTCAAAACTTGTGGCTGCATTTAATGAGTGACTCCAAATTTAAAGACAACAAATTTTATAAAAATTTGAACAAGTGACATTTCCGGCTAATGCTGAATGCATAGCTCACACTCTAATGTGAAATTTATAGTGTCACGATTTTAAGTGTGCCCACAGTCTTGGCCATATACGTAGCTTATCCGTAAATCAATTAAGTGTATATTAATATTCAAATTGTCAATCATAGAAACTAGCCCTTTTAATTACACGTAAAATCATCTCTGACTATTTATATGTAAATAAATAAACATAAATCATATATGGAAAAATCTTTACGAATTATATAATTTATATATTTTTGCTTATATAGCATAGCCTTCATTTTATGACCACTTCGAATACTGTAAATCAGTGCAGAGTTATTCAGCTACTAACCCAAAATATTGGTACTCAAGTGTATGGCAGTGTTTAAACGTCAGGGTTTTATTTATTCATAACAATTTATTTATTTATAGACTAGTATAAGGGTCTATCAACGATTTGTAAAAAACTCGAGCAGCAAAGCCATTTGACTAAGAGAATACAAATATTCCTTATTTATGTCTTGAATATTGGCAAATTGCCACTAGATTATGTATAGGCATATGTATATGGAGATATTTACGTTTAATGTGAAACCTTCAAACCCGCTTTACAATCGCTCATTTTATGCGCAAGGCTAATGAGAGACGTCAACAATGCCAAACTTTAAGCCGGTTGATTATTATTTCCTGATGACTGAATGAAAAATGAGAATCTATGCGATCTGCTGCCGGTCCGCCATTTAAGCCACAGCCGACAATTGACATCCGCATCGCTGGAGCATTGCTGAGCAGAGATTGAAAACATTGCCATTGTGTTCTAATTTCGACGGGTGTCTGTTTGTTCTGGCACTTAAGCCGCAAACGGGTTGACGCCCGTGCTATAAAAGCCCGGCGTTGATTGCCAAACAGCAACAGTCGCTCACAAGCGGACAAGTCAACAAACACCAGCGAGAAGCCCAAACAAAAAACAAATCAAATCAATATGAAATTCCTCATCTGTTTGGCTCTGTGCATCGCCAGCGCCCAGGCTGGCTTACTGGCCGCACCCGTGACCAGATATGCGGCCGTGGCTCCCATCGCCACCTACTCGGCTGTGGCTCCCATTGCCACCTACTCGGCTGTGGCGCCCATTCGATTCTCCACCTATGCTGCCGTCGCGCCTCTCTACAGGACACCTGTGACCACCTACGGCGTCGCACCTGCCGCAGTCTATGCCAGTCCGCTCTGGAAAAAGTAGTCACTGCTTGATGGTAATATACGGCCTGATCCTTGGATTACTTGAGAAATAAAATACATAAATAAAAATACCATAAATCGTGTCTTGGTCCTTGCTTTCGAGCATTTGGGTTAGCGTGTCTATTCCCGCTTCTTAACTCAATTGATGCTAGCTTACTGTAGTTGAGCTCTACTGAGAATATTTACAAAGTGGTATATTAGCTTTTTGCTCTCCAATCGACCTCAATTTGAAATAATATTAATCGGGATTTCCGTTATGGAAATTGAATGCTCCATAATTCTAATAAAATTTAGTATTTTTTCATAGATTTTCGATAATAATTAGAAGCGTTTCTGGTATAGTATTGTAATATATTAATACTTGGAAAATTTATATAATAAAAATTTTTTAAGATTCAGGAAGAATTTAGGATATTTTCTAGTCGAGAATTCCTGACAGATACGCTCTTGCGCTTATATTCTCTATGTATCCTAACGTTTCTCTTGTTGTTTCCGTTTCCGTACATAAGTTAACAACCCTACACACACACACTCACACTCACACACGTGGACACAGACAAACACACATGCACGTGGATGCCTTAATAACTGTGTGGGATATACCAGCCATGTTATTCCTTGCGTTTTACGTGCTCATTATCTGCGCTTCCGAATAATTAGATTCAATTACCCACTCGACTGTCTTTGTCTTTCATTGTCAGCAAAGGCAGCCACGCCTCCTCGTTCCTTGGCAGTAAAATATGTTCGCCTCGTCAGAGCCTTATGCACACGTATTCGACGTTAGCCATTTAATGCACTAATCTATCAATTTAGCTGGCATCTCTTTAAAGAAGAAGAAGACCTCAGAGAGCTCACCTGCGGAGTTTAGGGGTATTAGCACCATCAGTAAGTCAATTGGCTGTTAAATTTCTGAAGGATATTCATCAGGCTTTGGCAGGCTTTTAGCTATTCACGTTGCCATAGATATTCAGGCTTCGCCAGGGTCTGCTTTACCATTTGCTTGCCCATTCGTCCATTCGTCCATTCGTCCGAGTGCCACTTATTTATCATTTGTGCCCTCCTATTCATCTTGGCACAGCCACTTGAGCATGGGGTTATGTTTAATGATGCCGAATTTGTCTGCTCTCTAGAAAAACAGCAGAACTTAAGCTGCTTAAAGACACAGCAATCTTCATTTCCACCTAACGCAGCGTAGCATTTAATAGATTCAATGTCTAATTAAATTTCAGATTAACAGAAAAGAAACTTTTTTTGCTCGAAATGATTTTATTTGTATATGATTTTAATGTAATGTTTAATGTAAATATGGATATTATTAATTCGGGCTAAGGGGCTAGCGACTTGAATGCATTTTTGTACGTGCAGAAATTTTACTTTTAATAACCAATGAAATCAATTAATAATTAATAAGAATAAACAGCAAATTTCACTTTTTCAATAAAATCTCTTACGCTTCTGTGTCTGGGGTCAGCTCATCGGAATTTCGTTAGCTGGTTTATATTATTTTGGATTTCACTTACATATTTACTGTCAACTTAATCAAGTTTTTTAATTTTAAGTTCAGGTACAAGTATAGTGCACATAAACATTCCCAATGATTCCTTAAAAATACATTTATTTTCGTTAACTCATAATATAATATAATATAAATTATAAAATTATATTGGCACTTATAAATTTAAATTTTGCAAAAATAAGTTGCAATCTCAGTTACACTAACTTTAGCTTTACGTTTCAATACAAAACCTGGTGAATTTTGTATTTCTTTATAATTTATTTGTCCAAGTCAAATTTCAAGATCTTTTCGACCACGAGAAAAAAAAAATATTTCCAAATAATTTGTAAGCTATAAGAAATAACTATTTTTATGATTTTCTGTTGATTCGAATTTGTGTGAACCTAGTTAAATGAGAATGTCAATACATGTATATTAATAGGCCAAGAATGACATTTCGATAATAATAATATTGAATTCCGTTATAAAAGATGAATGGTCAGTTGTGCCTATCTTTCCCAGCTCTTCAAGTCATTTGCCAAGAAATGAATTTTCAGCCAGATGCAGTTATACAGAGCTCTGCAAGTTTTGCTTTAAACTAAAATTAATAATTGAGCGGGGTTTGTTTCATATGTATATCCTATCCCAGTAAGCATAAATAAAACAAGATTTCTGTATATATGTTATTAAGTACTTTCGTAAAATTACGTATATTTATTTTGTATATATATCTTGGATTATTGTGTTTAAATCTGCTTCGCATTCTTAAGTAAAATTGTTATTTAAAATCACACATCAAATGAATTGCCTCTTGCTCTTAAGGATTACGTAGTACAAAGTTCTAACAAAATTAATCCTAAATATTATTTATTTATATTTGTGAGTATGTATGTGTGTGTGTGTGTTTGTGTAAGCATAGCGATGCGTGTACTATACGATCTATTTATTATATTTGTATTAAACATTATGTGCAACAACTTACAAATTAATATCACTATAAATGCACAAAGATTATAAAGTTCCTCCCATTTCCGAATAGACAGAGATAGTTAGCTGGGCCTAGACGGTTCGAATAAAAGATGGAAAGAGTGCGATAGTGTGATTAAAATTCAGTGTGGAAACTGTTAGCCGTATCGATCATCTTAGATTGCAAAAATATCTCAGCGTTATCAGTCATCTGTAAAAAGGGGAAGAGTCTTTAAGAACGGTAGTCAGACATTTATTGAACCATTCATACCTCCTTAAGTGTTAAGAGTTCGTCCTTGTTCTCATCGCAAAGGCTGAATAGTGTGGCCGCTTCCTGGAGGGCATAGCGTGGCGTCTTTGGGTTCACATAGTTGAGTAGCTCGCCACGATCGGCTTTGCCATCGTGATTCCTGTCGATAATGCGCTTGAATTCCTCGCGGCGCTCCACGAGGGTTTTCGATATGAGAGACTTGCGCAGCAGATCTTCGTCGTCATCGACATTCAGGTCGGAGAACTCTTCCAACGTTAGCTGATCATCGCCGTCCTGATCGAACTGCCGCAAGAGATCGTCCACCAGCTCCAGCAGATTGGACACGCTCGATTCCGGATGCCTGAAGCTCAGATACTCATCGATAGTCAGCGTAAAGAGATCTGTGCGTGCCGCCTCCGACCAGCGCGCCTTATCGCGCATCATATCCTCCCTTGCCTTGCGGTTCAGCGTGGTGTGCCTGATCTCGTCGTGCTCGTCGATATCCGCCTCGGTCATGCCATGCTCCCGCAGAAAGAAACGATGGTACTCCTCCCAGGTGATCAGCCCGTCCGCCGGCGCAATGTCCACGCGTCGAAACTCTCTGGCATTGTTCATAATGGCAATGTCTATGTGCTCGACAATCCGCTTATTGATGTACTGTCCCAGCTCCTGAATGGACAGACGACCATCATGATTACGATCCGCTCTGCAAAGCGAAGAATATATCTCTCAGTCTAATATAATTTTGCATGATATACATATATATAAAGTTATGAAACAACCTTTAACCATATCAATCATGCATTTTCGTGAACAGCGTAATGCGCTAATCCGATTTAACTATGTTCTTATGTCTGTCTGTATATCTGTCTCGCTGTCTCTATCACAGTCTGTCTCTTTCTCTGTTTATTAGCCTTTCAAGATCAATGGACGAAGAATTACAGAATATGCCGTGTCGTGTAGTGCAGTAAAGTAAAGTGAAGTGTGTGTACGTCCAGTGGACCATTAAAAACGTGGAGGAGATTCGAAGAGGAGAAGATACCTAGAGGAAATATGTAGGAGAATATACGTATAAGGAAGGAAGAATACATAAAGGAAAACTGAGAGGATGTACGTAGAGGATATACTTGGAGGATTATATAGGGAATACGTATAGGAACATGTAATAGGTAATACTTAGAAGTAACGAAAGTAGAACAAAAATTAAAACTATAAAATTACATAGGTGACATAATTTAATAACTAATTTTCCATAAGGCTTTCAACAAATAATAACAATAACAAAGTAATGAGTGTAGTTATCGATTTAAGAAACAAACTCGATATTCTCTACACAGATCTACACAAAAATTCCAAGTCTCCAGTTCTTTTATTTTCTAAGATCGACACGTTCAAGACGGACAGACGGGCTAAATCGACTTGGCGTATAAAAATAATTCAAATTTAAATGCATAACAAAAATCATATGATTCAAATATTTAACAAGTAAGAAAGCTCCAGTCGAGACTGCTCGACTAGGAGATACCCTGAACCCTCCAAGCTGATATTCTAATCATTCTGCACACATACATACACATGCATCCACACGCACGCATAAGCCTGCGCTCTGCTAACTGCGCAGTAAGCAGCGACTGCGCTTGGGCTGCGCTGCAGTGTGGGCAATATTATGAGAATTTATTTGTTGAATAATTTCTTTTGTAGACATACGATCTTAATGAAACTTTNTCTAAAAATGTTCAAATTAGGCTAAAAAAACAAAATCAATTTTTCGATTATTCTCGATAAAAAAGTTATCGGACGATTTATCGAAAAAATAAAGCAAACTCGTACTGCGTATGGTACTCACGAGTATGCATGCCAAATTTCAGCTCTCTAGCTCTTATAACTTCTGAGATCGACGCACTCATACGGACGGACGGACGGACGGACGGACGGACGGACGGACGGACGGACGGACGGACAGACGGACAGGGCTATATCGACTCAGCTCGTCGCGCTGATCAAGAATATATATACTTTGTGGGGTCTGCCACGCCTCCTTCTGCCCGTTACATACTTTTTCACAAAACCATTATACCCTGATTTCCCATTTTCAATGGGTTCAGGGTATAAAAATAAAATAAACATTTCCAAAGTTGCATCTCATTGAGCATAAATGATATTCATTAATATGTACTTATGTGTTACCTACATATAAGGTTTGTGTATGGGACGCTTCATACAAATGTTGCGGACAAAGTTAACCGAAAAGTCCTCGAATGCCAGGGGAGTAAAAATAGTTAATTTGTAGTCAAATAACTCAAACATAATGAATATAATGAATCAGATTTATGAGAGCGCTTGTCGGCCACACATTAAACTGCAATTAAGCAGCCCCAAAAATGTTGTGATAATTGCGTGTGTGAAACTGATAGCCCTCATTTGCGGCTTATGCATTTAAATTCCCCTTTAATGCTGTGGCGCAGCCCACGCACCCGTCCGGAGAGAATTGGTCCCGGCAATCCGACAATTCGACAATTCGGCGAGTGGCAATTAAATTGTAGCTGCAACTGACACGGTCTATTGTTATAAATTTTAATTGTGTCGCTGCTTGTGTCGGTCTGTCGGTATATCAGTCTGACTATTTGTCACTGACAATTCAGTAGCCCACTCCGGGCCGAGTCGCTGTTATCAACACACACGCAGCTCGTTAATGTCCTTCGGGTGAGCATTCCAATTAGGACACCGCGGCCGGCAGCCGGCAGCCTGCAGTCGCATTCTGCAGCCGGCAGCCAGCAGCCTCCTGCTGCCTGTACATTGATTTAGCACTGCTGCTGACCCACCGTGAAGAATGCCACAAACTAGCGCACAAGTTGCATGCAGCACGCAGAGAAGCCTCGCTCGCATTCGCAAGTTCAACAGCATGGAAAAGTTATACGACTCTAAATAGCAGTGCAAACGGCGCACAGGCCAGATAACTTTTCAAAACTTATAGCCGGGCAAAACTATATCCTTTAAACGCGAGTTGACTCTTGATACTCGCATTCGTGAATTGCGAGGATAAAAGTTCATTTAATTTATGCAAAAAGGGAAACTCCAGTCTCCCTCTCTATCTATCCTCCTCTATCTTTCATTCTCTTTCATTATGGCCAAAAGTCAGCTTTGCACTTCTTTACGGGTATCGTTAAATATTTCTCATTAGTTGTTTTCTCCTACACTCTCTAATCAACCCTTATATTTCGTTATATCATTCCATACTCGAAACTTAACCGAAAACTTTAATTTTGGTCTTTTTTCCCCCTCTACGCCTTTTAGTTTCTGTTTTTGATCTCTATCGCTCCGTTCTTCACTTTAGTCTTCCTGACATTCAGCTCGTCACAGTTACTACTCCTGTTGAGCAACTACTCAAACACATCACATGTATCAGATATATCCCAGTATTTCTGCATTCCGTTTGCCAACACTATAGAGTTTCATTCTTGTATTTCTCTGTCGCATTCCACTTGATTTTATTGCACAAACACAGTAGAACGGTTTGCAAGAATTTTTTGCAGTCACAACGTTGACACAAGCCGAACACGAGCCAAAGATCCCATTTCGCAAAATCTTTGCTGTCGCATAAAAAACGGAATAAAAAGGAAAACTATCCAACACTGGCAATTGGCAAAGGAAAAGCCACAGGCTTATGCAAAATGCATTTTCGCCTGGCAACTAATCCCATGTCCTGCTGCTCGTCAAAGGGCATGCTGTTTTGCAACTAAACAAACTGTCAGACTAATCGGATACCCTTTAAAGAAAACTCTCTTAGCTAGACAAACAAAAATACCGCGCAATTCCCATTGGAAATGAATACAGAATTAGGCAGAAAACTATGTTAAATATTTTATCCTAGCTTTTTAATTTCAAATATTAATCATAAATAACTAAAGTTAGAGTCTCACAACACATCTTCTCGTCGTCTTGTCCTTGTTAGCTATTTTATGACCACAGGGTATAGAAAGAAATGCAAAAATGTGAAAAACGCAGTCGAAATGAAAAACTTTTCATCCAAAGTATGCGTAGAAGAGATGCGAAAGGGCGGAAAGAAAAAAAAAAGTTTTTTTTTTTTACTATGTTTTTCGGCTTGTTTGTTTTTTATTTCTCGTGAATTTGTGCACCCGGTGCCCTTCCTCCCGCACTCCCTCTGGGCTACCGAAACTCCGAACTGGCAAAGACCGCAACGCACACATACATTACGGAATGGAGGAGGCGTCGGAGAATGGGGGCGGAGCGAACAACAAAAGTTTTGCGGAAGGAAACTAGCTGGAAATCGCTTTAGTTGCCGGTTTATTTATTTAAGTTCTAATGCCTTAAATATATGCTAATGAAACCACTGTGCGGTGCAGCCACTGCCATCGCACTCGCCTCTCTATTCGCTCTCGCATTCCAATCCCCAAGCGCATTTCAGCACAAACAGAATAAGAATGTTTCATTCGGGCCTCACCGGTTCTATAATACTCGTTTACGGTACGAATGCAAATACATTTATTTAAAAATTGATATCAAACGAGTCAGTTTATACTCCTGTTTCTGTTCATAGTTCTCTTGCTCTAAAAAAAAGTCCTTACTTTCGAGTCATTTTCGGTAAATAGCCCGCCTTAAGCAGCGACATAAATTGATAATGTTTTTCTTTTCTATCATTTAGACCCTTGTCTAATTGTTTAATTTTTATCATATCTAACCTATAGAACAATATTTCCTTTAATATCTTTAAGTTATCTTTATCTTATCTCATTTTCAGCTAGTCTGAAAGGATTTGCCAGTGGACTGGTAGACCCTAGCAGACTTGGGAACAAACAGTAATATATTGCAAATTGAACAGTCTCTATATGCTCACTTCACTTTGTGAACGAGTATCAAACGACAAACACAACGGCCAACAATAATCCCTGGGATACGCATTGACACTCCCCTGGCAGCCATTTCGCGATTATTTCGCCGGTTAGTTTGAGTGCATCTCGAGCATAGCCCCATCCAGTGAATGCTTTAATAACTGACACTTGTTTTGGGCAATCGCATTCGTGCGAACAGCCGGCAGGAGCCCGAGGCGAGGCTCATATTATTCACACATTCTCGCACCTCTGCTCGAGCTTAAGGCTCTTAAATACAAGTTGCCTGAGGTGAACTGGCACCACTACGCCACTCGCAAGTGCTTGCCTCTTTAGATTATGAAATTCAAATGCAGTCTGCCACTCAAAAGATTTATATGTTTGCTGATAGCTATAAAACTGTATATAAATGACTAAACTATATGAAAACTGATAGTGGGATTATAAAAATGCCAGCTATATTTATTGTGTATCGGCTACTAAGACAGATTTTCATTAGTTATGCGACTTGAGCTAACTTAATTACGAATTGTCTTTAAATTTATGATAAATGAACAACAAATAGAAATGTTTAAGGATAAAGAATTTTTAAAATTGAAAATAAAGCATTTTTTTAAAGCAAGTTTAAATACGAAACAATAACTGTAATATTAACCTTTTATAATAAAGGGTATAAATAATGAAAAATTGCAACAGTATATTTTAAATGATTAGCAAAAATGTTTTGATATCGAATTAAATTTGAAAACAAAAGTCTACTAAGCTTGCTTAAACTGCATGAAAATAGTCTGAAAAGGACAGACGTGGACCTAAGGGCCGGTGGCTCAATATTTATTTGGCTGAATAAACATAATTGCTCCCAAAAGTACGGCCTTAAATGAATAGCAAGAAGTTGTAATTACTTCGGCTGCGGAAATTCGGGTAATTAGTCTTACATGTAATATAAATGTATTGCAGATATACATAAATACATATATATATATACGTATAAAGTTCAATTGATTGCAAAGTTTAAATTGCTGTGCCGTCGAGTGGAAAAAATGCTGTAAATCGTAAAATCGAACTCTTGACCAACTTAAAGTAATTTGCGAAATGCTTAGTTGGAGATAGCAATCAAACTCGAAACGGAATGCAAAGCAAAAATGTTAAATAAAAGTGTGTGAGAGAGAGAGAGAGAGAGAGAGAGAGAGGGAGAAAGAAAATAATAAGTAAATAAAGTTTGGCAGCTGCGGAAAAATGTGAATGCAGCCGAGTCTCAAATTTATTTGCTCGCAACTTGCGAAAGAGTTTTAGGGAGCGACGCAAGGGGGGAGACTCAAATAGAAACATTTTTGCGAGCTACGGAAATATTTGTGTGTAAACGGGTTCTATATTCAATAAATATTCAAATCGAATTTCCCATTTTCGCTCTGATTGCAGCTGCGCCCGCCAGCGGCGCCATCAATATGGCATTTATATTGAAGGCCCTTTGGTGGCGATGTGCCCGAGCACGATGGCATTAACCTAATCAGAATTAATGATAGTTTAATCCGATTAAATGCCCAATGATACATGGAAACGGGGCGTGGAGCACAGCCGACACGGGGCACTTGTGTGCGTATTAATATTTGATTGTGAATTAAATATTAAACACAAATCGGGGACAAAGACACATTTAACAGACAAGGACACTGCAGTTATTCGGGCATAGTTCCCAGAAATTAAGACATTTTCAGAAGACAGCTCGCACGAAAAAGCAGTGTACATTTAAAGAGACACTTTAAAGAGACTTTTACTGATTTAAATTGAAAGTTTGGCACTTAATTTAAGCTGTTGTCAATAAAGACTAATGAAATGTATCATCAATTATGGCACCTTTAAATGAAAGACTTGCACTGCATATTTGTTGTTAAAGTAAAACATTTAAATAATACAAGGACATATACATGGGGTGTATTCAATTTTCAGCTCAATGGCAAAATCAATGCAAAGGAAAACACACAAAAACTCCCACAATACCCATGACTGACAAAATGTATGTTCAAAAGTTTTCGGCTTTGTTGCTCATACGCCACGTCGTCCACAGGCTGGGCTTTTTGATTTCCCACTAACCCGCAAAGGTTCTGCTTTTGTTGCAAATGTTGAATTTGTTGCTATTTGAGGCAAAACCCAATTCACAAAATTGATTGAAAGGTTGAATGTCAACACACCCGATAATAATAATATTCTAGCAGTATAGTTTATTTCCCAGCGTAAATATTTGTTTTTTATTCATTTTTGTTCATTGATTTTTGTTTTTTGATTTGATTTAAAATATTTTTTTCTTTTCTTTTTTGTTATTCTGATATATTCCTATATCTTTTAGATCCTTGTTTAATTGTTTAATTTTTATCATATCTAACTTATACAAGAATATTATATCTATATGTTATTTTTATCATTATATAATTTTCAGCTAGTCTGACAAAGTTTTGAGCTTTAGGCTCGTAAAAGTTTAATTAAACTAAATTGAATGTAATATTTGATGCATCATGGACTATAAAAGAGTTTATCAAGCATCATGTCAGATTGAAATATCAATTATTATTGTTATTATATATCTGACAAAGTTACCCCAAATATAGAACACAAAATGAAACTTTCGATAGAAAAAAAGACAAGACCAGATAGAATTGGTTGTTAAATTACAAGACATCATTTTGGTTGGGCCACCAAAAGTCTATAGACTGCCCTCGCATTTAATTCATCATCAAATATAATAGTCTGTCTAGCATAATCCTTTTCCCTCCAGGCTCCCGCGCATAAAAGTTAGCCGCACGCATTTGAGCAGCTAAACCTAAACGTCGTCAATCATACGCCATGATAGCCCCATCGCCCGTTATTAACTGCTTTCATAATCCTTGTGGCTCATTGGCAATAAATAAGCTGTACAGAATGCTAAGCCGACTTTCCAAGATTTATGCTCGTTAAATGAAAAACTAGCAAAATAGTTCAACTGCAAGAAGCAGTAAAGTTTCAAATTTTCAAACTTATATTTTCTATTCTGTGGCACTGTCGACACATGCACAGCACAGCTTCCGCTCAAATCAATAATTATGATTGCCTTTCCTTGGCCGCCTGTCCTTAATCCGATTATCCGGCGCCCAATCAAAATCATTCAAAGTAACAAATCGCATTTGGGGTCCCCGAAGCACCTTTGCGCCCAGTTCCGAATAGAACATCTATCAACTGCTGCTGCTGCTGCTGCTGCTGCTGCTTCTCCCTAACCCATCGCTCACTTGCTGCTGCTGCCATAAATTTCACAATTTGTCGTACACACAATTCTAGCACGCACTGTGCTGGCGTCCAGTCTGTGGTGTTCTTTGGCTCTCTTACCTCCCGCATTGACGCTATCTATTTACCGCTGTCCCTCCAACGGCGCAGCGTGAACAATAGCCGCCGGCAACAGAGGCTACAGAAGCAACAACAATGGAGCTTCCTCCAAACTAGCATCAAATTATCAGCCAAACAAGCCACCACCCCCACCCCCACGCTCACTTCTCGTCAGTGGGCAATGCGAAGGCGTAACTTACCGCTTGAAAGCTTTTGCAAGTATTTGCTTCTCGTTCACATTGCTGTCCGTTAATATAACTGTTTCGGGCTGTGGTTGCGACGTCTTGCTGCTTGCAATGCCACCATCTTCCCTTCCTTTCGTCCCTCCTGCTCCTGCTCCTGCTACTGCTGCAACTGCCTCTCCTCTATTAGCAGCTATCGGCTGCAGTTTGCGTCGCTGCTCCTCCTTCGTCTGGCCGTTGCCCAACACTAAATTGCTCTTCGCCAGCTGCGACTGCGACTCTAGTTTTTGCTTTTCTTCTTCCTGCTGCTGCTGTTGATGTTGCAGCGGTTGCTGATGCTGTTGCTGTTGCTGTTGTTGCTGTTGTTGTTCGCGGCTATTAGGGCGCTCATTGAGCATTGACTTGGCCTCAGCCAGGCTCTGCTGCTGCTGCTGCTGCTGCTGCTGTTGCTGCTGCAGCTTGTGGCTGGTGCTGTGCAATATGAGGCCAATGAAAAACATATAAAACAAAATGGCGCACAGTGTCGAGCAGCGCAGCCAGCGGAAGCTTTTGCTCAGCTTGTTAAGGAAAGTCATTTTGCGGCCGCCACCGGACGTTCGCCTCGCCCGTGGACTGCGAGTCGCCCACTCGAGTCCTGCCTCAACCGCAGCCTCAGTCTCCGCCTCACGTTGCGTGTAATTTGCAGAAATTTTTGTTGCCTGCCGCTTCCGTTGCTTATCCGGTGTTGTGTGTGTGTGTGTGTGTGTACGCGGGCGTGGGCGGCTGAGGGGAGTGGCTTCAGGCACTCTTCAGGCCTCTGCTGCTTGTCGCCACGCTCGCTGATTCACAGGCGCTCGCCGTAATTGTTGTTGCAGCTGTACATTAATTGACTTTTATGTTGCACTGGCAGCGATGCTGTGCGCTGCTGTCAGCAAATTGGCCACGCCCATGCGCTCAAGATGTTACAGTTGCTACTAGCCAAGTTAACCTCTAATGCCGCTTTGATGTCCTGTTCCCGTTCCCGTTCCTATTCCTGCTGCTGTTCCTATTCCTGCTTCCCGTTCTTTCTACGTGCTCCATTGGCCAGACATGAGTTTTCAAGCCAATTTTACATGATTGTTTCCAGAATGTTTCCAAGCATTTCCACTTTGCATGCCACGGCGCCTCGCCTCCAGCTGTGGTTGGAGTAAGAAATAAACAGTTAAAGTGATTTTATGATCACATTATCTCCACTTAACTAGTTATGTGCTAATGCGATTTGTATAGCGATTTGTGAAAGGAGAAAATAAGTGCAAATTATTTTAAAATCATTCCGAGAGTTCCATGCAGAATAATTGCCAATGGTAGCAGATATTACTAATTCCATTTATGTATTTAGTTTATAGTCTTTAGTTAACCTATATTATATACTAAATCGATAAGCTTTATGTTCAGAGAGTTTTCTGAAAATAAGAATAAATTTTGCATAATATATTATTATACCCTGAACCCATTGAAAATGGGAAATCAGGGTATAATGGTTTTGTTAAAAGTATGTAACAGGCAGAAGGAGGCGTGGCAGACCACACAAAGTATATATATTCTTGATCAGGGCGACGAGCTGAGTTGATTTGGCCCTGTCCGTCTGTCTGTCCGTCCGTCCGTCCGTCCGTCCGTATGTATGAACGCGTCGATTTCAGAAGATATAAGAGCTAGAGACTTCAAATTTTTTTTAAAATGTCCGTAATTACAGCGCGCATATCAAGTTTATCATTAAAAATCGATAACTCATCCCGATCTTTTTTTATCGATAAAAAACCTTATCGAAAACCAGTTATAAAATTATATCTTCTACACCTTTATTGCTAGAGTCTCCAAATTTTTAATGTATGCTTATATGCAATTTATACAATTTCGGTTTTTGTTAAAATTTACCCCCCACCCTTAAATTCACCCCCTCACCCTCACTTTTGTAAAAAGCGTATTTCAAATACTAGAGACTTGTGCTTTGGCAATTACATGCATATCCATGTTATAATCATAATCTGAAAGTTTCATGAAGATCGTACGTCCATAAAAAAAGTTATTAAACAATTAAGTTCTCATAGTAAGCGCACACTGCAGCCCATGCGTGTTTATGCGTGGGTGCTTGTGTGTGTATGTGTTTGTGTATGTGTGTGTNCAAAAGAAATTATTTAACAAATAAATTCTCATAATATTGCCCACACTGCAGCGCAGCCCAAGCGCAGTCGCTGCTTACTGCGCAGTTAGCAGAGCGCAGGCTTATGCGTGCGTGTGGATGCATGTGTATGTATGTGTGCATAAAAGAAGTGCAGAATGTTTAGAATATCAGCTTGGAGGGTTCAGGGTATCTCCTAGTCGAGCAGTCTCGACTGGAGCTTTCTTACTTGTTATATTTTTAGAATAATATCATCACATCCCTTACCCTTACTATATTGTTTCCGATTCAATGCAACTACTTAAACTATTGCATAAGCTCTAGAATATTTTAATATTATTGTCAATTTTAGTCGTTAAGAGGTTTTAAAGAAAATTAAACCAAAATTATTTGAGTTAAACTCTTATCGACAAGCTTTAATGAGCTTTAAATCTTTAAATTAAGATTATTTTCCCCAATATTTAGTTACCTTTAAAGTAACTCATTGATTTATTTAAATACAACTATAATCCTTTATGGTCACAGCTTGATTTAATTTAACAAAAGCTTCCTGAAGCTTTTGTCGAAAATGGCTTACTGCTTAAGACTTTGCATAAAGGAAACTCGACCATGTTTTTGTTAAGATATTGACGACGTTTTAGTTTTAAACAAGATTTTAAGAATGGACTCTTCAGTTCATATATGTTAAGCTTCTATTGAAATCATCAATATAGATTCCGAGTATTAGATAAAATGCTATTAATTTTTACGCCAAGTTTTAAAATCACTCGCTAATCCATTATGTAAACTTTAAAGTTACTTATATAAGGTCTACCTTTAACTTTCGAAATGTTTAACCTAATAAGGACTCATTCAAGTCTCTATTCGGTTGCACTTGGCAGGCTTTTAATCTTAAAAGTCATTCATTTATTTAACAACTTCCTATCTTTTATTGTCCATTAGAGCTTGCAATTATTTTTGCCTCTTTAACCTACTAATTGGACCCAACTGCCTGGGCCATTGTGTTGGACGGCCCATCCATTAGGCGACCAAGCAGCAAAAATCTTTGTAGATTTGTTTCGCCCAATGAATGAGCCAGGCGACAGTCATTAAACAGGGCCGCAATAATGACTCGCATTACGATGAGCACTAAAAATCAGCCGTAAAGCAGATAAGATGCGTCCTCCCGATCCTTGAGGGTATGCCATAAAACTGGCTGTCAATTTAATGAGGCTGCCTGTATACGTAAGTTTATTCAAAAAGGTTCTCATACCGAAAGGAATTGCATGTTTATATATGTACATATGTATATATGACTGCAGAAAACTATGATTCTTGTTAATATGAAACTAATCAATACGTTGAATTATATATTTAAAAAATATAACCGAAATACGACTGCACAAATATTTATAAATAAATATAAAATCATATCT